GATTATCGTGTGGAAATGTATAGCAGCCAAATACTAAATACGCATGTTCATTCTAAACATGGAGGGGAAAACAGGAGGACCCGAATAAAACTTAATGCGACTAGGGGGAGAGAGGCATGCAAACTCCAAATATACAGCAGGCGTCAGGGTCTGGATCGAACCCACGACCTCCTGTATACCAGGCGAGGTAGTTAACATCTGATAGCCACTGCAGCTCCCTAAAGATGGCACGAATTGAGGGACCCACCAGGCGGCTGCCAGCTGACGAGGACATCGAAGCGCAAGGGCACCTTTTCGGAGAGGGCCCACACAGCTCGCTCGTAGCATTTCCGTCCCGGGGCCATCGTGGGTTCCGTGAGCTGCAGCTTGATCACTGTGGAGCAGGGCAGGGAGACCGGTGAATTGGCGATGGACCTCAGGTCGTGCTGACTCTCTCCATGGATTACCGGCGTTGCAAAACCCAGGGCAAAGCAAGTTTGAGAAACGGAAGCACTGAACGGGAGAGACGAAGTGGAATCAGTGTGGGGCAGAGTGGAGGGAATGGGAAAGGAGTGTGGATGTCACAGGTGCATTCGGGGAAAAAAATAGATAGGTATAATGCGAAGGAGGTGACTAAAATGATTTGGTTACACAAACCACTACTGCCAATATTTGGAAGGGGAAAGCTGCAACGGTTTGGCTATGTCACTCGATTAGCATGGTTGGCTACGTACTGTGCGAAATAAGTTCAACAACTTTACATCATCCTGTTGAGCAAAGTCGGAGGGAAGAGGGAAGAGGAAAGAGCATGTTGGCCAAGGAGCAGCTGGGTGATGAACGGAGCAACTTAGGGGAAGGAGATCAGTGGCAGAATGTTGTACAGATCACAAAAGAATGAAAGAGGTTGTGAAACGTGATATCCAAAGCACCAATGGCAACTTCATTAACCCCATTGTTAAGGGACCAATGACAATGTTAACAAACAATGGGAAGTTGTTCCGGAAAACAAAGATGAAATTAACCCCCGTCAAAATGTAATCCTGGCTTTTCAAGTGCTCACTCTGTGACCTGCAGGGTTATATGTAAAGTGCAAAGAAAACATGTTTTCAATCAATCGCCTGAATTGTTTAATCCAATCGGTACAGACTGCAAAAATGAATAAAAAAGTAAACTTTATTTTACCAGGTAAGGCCCACCGAGCTATATATCTTTTTTTTCAGAAGTGACCTTGCTATCACAAATGATAGCCCATTGAAGTGGTTAATCATGTCGAAATTTATAGCAGCCAAAAACTCTCAACGCATGTTCCTAAATGTGGAGGAAAAAATCGGAGGACCCGGAGAAAAATCCACACAACCATGGGGAGAACATGGAAAGTCCAAGATACAGGTGTCAGGGTCGGGATCACACCCACGAGCTCCTGTACACCAGGTGAGGGAGATAACGTCGTACAATTCTGGATTTTAACTCATTGACAGCAAATTTAGTTTAATCTCCGAGGTACTGGGAACGGAAAAGAAGCAAGGTGAACGGTTACCATATTGGAGAGGCTTCCGGCCGGTGTACTGCGACGGCTGACCCTGCAGCCCAAGCTCCTCATACGTGTCTTTGGTCACACTCAGTATTAACGTTCCTGCAAGCACAAACACACAAATATTATAGCACTGAGCACATAGTCCCTAATCAGCTGTTCCTAAACACCAGGTGTTGCTTTCATACTGTCCATTAGGCTGGGGAGTTTATAGTCTGAGTTAATAGCATCGTTGTTGTGAATGCATTGGTAAATCTTCTTCGAATTCCTCCCGGATAAATAAAGATTCTGATTCTTGGGGTTGGTGGATCATGCAGGTTTCTTAATGCACTGCGAGACTCCTAAAGCTGCTGAGCTGCAAGTTGGGTTGCAGATGTCAGTATAACAAGTGGGTTCGTGATGACCTGTCTGTGTGGATGTTGGTGTGCTATCCCTCCTATCGGTATGACTTTTCTCCGAGTACTCTGGTTCCCTTCTCTATGCAAAATACTTTAAAAAAAGGAATTGGCCAAACATCCTGATGTAGGACTCAAATGAAAATTAAAAAGCTTGAAGACCTGGTGACTCAGCGAGTCCTGAATACGTAAATGTTGTTTAGATTTACTTATATCTGTAGAGTTGTGTGCAGCTGGCTTACCTGTTGGCAGCAGGGCCAGTGTGTTGTCCTGGTCTATCCGAGTGTTGTAAGACAATGCGTAAAACGCCCCTGTAAAGAATAACGCAAAACTCTTAAGACTTTTCATTATGGACATTTAGACAATGGCAGATCATAGTTTCTCTGATGTGTTGTTCAGTTGTACCGCGTGTTGTTCGGCATGATGTCTGACGTTTCGCTCCATGTGGTGGCACTTGCTCAGGTACTCGATTCAGTTCGGGTTGAAGCTTTCAGCAAAAAAACTTCTGACATAATGCTGAATATGCGGTACAACCCAAAAACACATTGTAGATCTATACAGCACAACCAGTCAAGGAATTTTGTCTTTTATGTAAATCACACACCATTGCTGACCTTGGGAGACGAATTGCTGAATGAAATCTTGTCGCAGGAAGGCAGCCGCTGGGACGCCCCGAACCCGGAGGTAAGGGTTGACCTCCTTGCACAGGGCGGCGATGGGCTCGGGTAGCAGTTGGCACTCTGGTATGAATACCTCCACCTGGGAAAACAGGGCACACAACGAGGCTGCGGACTCCACATCTTGATTCTCAAGCTGCATTCTCACTTGGGCCTCACCGTTAAATTTGCCGTCAAAGATTATGTAACATTTGATACGTGTGGGCCATGTGTACTGGCATCACGGTCCAAATTTAACAATATACTCGCAAATTATTTAATTGGGACAAACCCCCATTGGAAGATCGTCACCCTTAAGGCAGAATTATGCTCATTTGCTGACTGGTGATGTGTACACCTTATGCTGCACCGACAGCTGCCACTCGGGTCCCCTTGGCTAGACTGCAGCAGAGTATTGGAATGGTTGAAATGTGATGGAAGATATTTACATTTTCTTAGGCATTGAAGTGCCTTATAAATGGAAATCCTTATTCTCAGCCGTACATCCGCAGCTGATGTTTAGCAAGTTTAGACATTTGATGTGTATTTGAATACAACTCCATCAATGCAAAAAAGCTCTGCAAACCACGCGTATTGTGAAGTATTTTAAAAGGCAAAGTGTTGCCAATCCTGTTCCGCCGTAACTAGCGCTGGGCATGAGTGTTTTGCCTAACATGCAAATTACAATTGACAATGCGATGAGAACCGATGTAAAGTGCGGTATGGCTTTCAAATTAGTATTTAAACTTGCATATCATCAGACGGTCGGGTGGCTCAGAGGCCTGAGCGCTGAGCCAGCATCGCTGAGATTCTTGGTCTGAATGTTGGTAGAGCCGCATGCGATTAAACTATATATATTCTTTTTACCAGGTAAGGCCCACTGAGCTATATAGCTTTTTTTCCAAAGCGACCTGGCTATAAATGATAGCCCAATGAAGTGGCTTATCGTGTGGAAATTTATAGCAGCCAAATACTACAAACACGTTTCCAAATGTGGAGAAAAATCCACGCGACCATGAGGATAACATGCAAACTCCAAATACACAGGTGTCAGGGTTAGGATCGAACCCACGATCACTCCTGTATACCTGGCGAGGTAGTTCACATCTCGCCACCGAGGCACCCCAACAAACTGGGTTCTCAAGCGGTAGTGTCACAGTGGTACCAGCTTGGTCAACGATGAGCGGCACAATGAAAACAACACCTTGTAGACGAAGTGATGGTCTTTGAGATGCCGGTCATGCTTTGACTTCTCGTTGCCAAAGTGGGACTTCTCGCAGACGAGCTTGAAGCCCGGGTGCTTGGAGATGGCTGGCAGCATGGCAGCTTGTTGATGTACTTTACACACGACAGGGTGGAAACATTTAGCCCTTTCGATTCCAAAGCTTCTCGAACAATCAACGAAAAGTTTGAATGGGCAGTTACAAACACTGACGCCTTCGTTCATGAGAAAACATTTGTGAGTTTTTTTTAAAGTACGTTTTAATGTTACATTAAAGACACCAGGTCAGCAATAGGTCAGCCTGTGTGCGACTAATCTAAATACAGTCAGTGACCATTACCTATCAACAGTTGGATTATTTTACAACATTGCTAAGTTACACCCATTACATACAACACACGTACATATCCACTGCTGGATGAGGGCCTCGTGTGGGTCGTACGGGGTTATTTGACCATACTTCACCACAATGTGCAGTGTGGGTTGAAGGGGGGGGGGGTAAACACGTTTGTAGCACAGAAGTACACTACAACAATGAACTTTTCTGCCCTCTGCTTGTCCCACCAGGTAGCCCCACCACACAGCAGCCTATAGCACCCGTTATGCATGTGGACACTCATGCAAGCAACTACGACCCGGGTTCGATTCCTGCTTCGGAGCATCCGAGATCCAGCGAATTCCGGCTGCCTCGGTCACGCTATAGGTTACAACATTGTATAAAAACACATCCGTTACAAATTAAGAGAAGTTCATTATAATACTTAACTGTAATAATATTCTAAGGCAGCATTATGGGTTATTTACCTTAAAAACTGGTGAGATTACAGTAACTGGTGTATGCTTGGGCCACGGGACATTAGCGCACTAAATATAGCGAGTAAGCGTGATGACGACGGTCACTGTTATAATAACAGAATACACTACGTGAAAATGTACGATACGTTAACTTAATGACATTAATATTTTAAATCGTCGATGGTCTGCGTGTCCACAGACAGACACACGCACGCGCGCGTCTGCGCGTTGTAAAATAGCGTCTCGACTTGATGACGCGCAACATTATAAATAAGGTAAAAACACAACTTTTTTTGTTTAAACACACATTTACACACACGGTTTTAAACATCGGTTTAATCGTTCGAATGAAAGCAAAAAAAATTAGTATGATAATAAAAGAGTTGACGACGGGGAGGGGAGGTTGGGCATTTGAGGGTGAACCGGTCGTGATGTCATCACTCCGCGACTCGCGAAGTTGGTCGCCGCGTTGCTGAGGGGACTTCGCCGTCGGTACTAAACATTACATTCTTAAACATTACATTCTTAAACATTACATTCTTAAACATTACATTCTTAAACATTACGTTCTTAAACATTACATTCTTAAATATTAGATTCTTAAACATTACATTCTTAAACATTACATTAATAAACATTACATTCTTAAACATTACATTCTTAAACATTACATTCTTAAACATTACATTCTTAAACATTACATTCTTAAATATTAGATTCTTAAACATTGCATTCATTAACATTACATTAATAAACATTACATTAATAAACATCACATTCTTAAACACACATTCTTAAACATTACATTCTTAAACATTACATTCATTAACATTACATTCTTAAACATTACATTCTTAAACATTACATTCATAAACATTACATTCTTAAGCGTTACATTCTTAAGCATTACATTCTTAAACATTACATTCATAAACATTACATTCTTAAACATTACATTCATAAACATTACATTCATAACATTACATTCATAAACATTACATTCTTAAACGTTACATTCATAAACGTTACATTAATAAACGTTACATTCTTAAACGTTACATTCATAAACGTTACATTCATGCACGTTACATTATTAAACGTTACATTCATAAACGTTACATTCTTAAACTTTACATGCTTTAACGTTACATTCTTAAACGTTACATTCTTAAACGTTACATTCTTAAACGTTGCATTCTTAAACATTGCATTCTAAACCATTCAATTATTAACCATTCAATCCTTAACCATTCAATTAACCATTCAAACCTTAACCATTACATTCCTAACCATTCGATTATAACCATTCAATTCCTTTCCCTCTTATTTTCAACTCTTTAATAACACATAACCGTGTCAATCCATACGGTTTTACCCCGTATTCTTGTACGGGGAAATTGAGTTTTGAGGTACATACGGCGTACAGCCGTTTCAATACGGGCAAAATAAAAAATAAAGGTCAATTTGTGTTTATCTCGCTTGTGATGGGACTTTTTGTAGGATGAACGTTGAGATTTATAAAGAGGGCACGAGGTGACCAATACGGTATTGCTCTGTAATAAGGTAGGGCACTGATAAGGGGTCGACAGATATGGGATCTCGTTACATCTCAAAAGCTAAGCTTTGTGGGAAGTAGAGGACAGTTGAACAAAATCAATTGTTGTCCTGTGCACAGTACTGTACTTCTATGCTTCCGCATCCGACTTGACCAGCGTGGTCAAATAACCGTCCAGGATCCGCACGACGTTATAAGGCCCTCATCTGGCAGTGGTTTGATCAACTGGCTGTATCTGTACATGCGTGTGTTTGGGAGTTTCTGGTGGTTGCTATATCACCCGGATTATTCTGTTGCCTTTGCACGAAACGCCTTAAAACTATTTTTTATTCCCCATAAGCTCCCAGCGCATGGACTGAAATAGTCGGAAATCACGCATACTCTTTGGTTCTTTCGGTAAAGTCACGTAGGTAGAAAAATAATAGATCACGACGTTTCGGAAAGAAAAAAAACTTCAGCAGTTTTTTTTCTTGCTGTGGTTGTCCCACCTGATGACGATTGCTTGTGTTGCGATCGAAACGTCGGGAGCTATTATTTTCCAACCTACGTGACTTTACCAAAAGAACCAAAGAGTACGGATTCCTGCAGTCACGAAAGCTTCAAGTCAAGATTGAACACACCGCAGTTACGACTTGAAAAGGCATCGGTGAGTGATTTTGATTACAAGCCAATTGCGTGACATTTACATTGTGTGTGATTTTGCATTAACCGCGCAGGGAGAAGTGACGGGGGGGATGGCGGGGGAGCGGGTGGCTCTGCCGGCCGGCGAGATGGTTTGGGTCTGCCGGAGAGTAGACGCGGAGCCCACCCTGGACCACAAGGCCGTGGACGCATTTCTGGTAGAGCTGTACCGCTGCCGGCGCTGCCTCTTCACCAGCTGCATTACCGCCACCATGCTGGACCACCTCCACCAAAACCACAGCGATGGCTTGGCCACGACACCACAACCGGCACCAGCAGCAGCACCGAGCCAATCTCCTTCCTCTCCCACTTCCAGGGTATTGTCATCGGCCGATCCCGAGCCGTGCGGTGATACCGACGTGGCATCGGCGGCCGAAAGGTTTTCTTCCGGAAAGGATGAATGCGGAGGATCTTCCGCAGACACGGCTACCGATGGCACGGTGGCGATCGGCTCGTGTCCCGCCAGGGAAGACGTGCCGAAATCTCCGCAGCGGCACGCGGGCATTGAACACGGAGAAGAGGACGCTTCACTCAAGGCGCCTGGTTTGAGTGTGGCCGGGGAGGCGCCGCCGTGCGGGAGCCATTCGGAGCTGGGAGACGACCTTGATCGCGAGGAGTGCAGGCTGACCTTGACGAAGGGCGAAAGCGCTGACAGTAGTAATCTGCAGGCCGAGTGCAGGGACAAACACCAAACAGGCGCTGCTCTGGAAAACGAGCAGGCCGGCAGTGGGATGGAGTCGGCAGTGTGTGGCCCTGAAAACCTGGATCGCATTTCCCGCGAGGTTGACCGGATGCTGCGCTGCCTGAGCCCCGCATCGTGCGAGATGATCGGCCTGGTGGGCGGCTGCCACGACGACGCCGACGACGCCGGATTCTTCGAGGCGATGATGGAGGCCGCTCGCCCGCTCCCGAGGTCGAGGGACGAAGCGGAGGAGACGGACGAGGCGGACGAGGCACAGTCGGAGCACCTGTTCTCGCTTGGCCTCTGCCGAACGTCGGCGATGGCTCGGCGGCCCCTTGGTGGCGAGCCCGGCGTGAAGGTGCGGTGCGCTCCGCCAAGTGTGGCGTGTGAAGGCGCAGGATTGACTGTAAAGACGTCTGACGTCTGTGTGGAGCTGGGCAGCCAGGGGCCTATCCCCGAAGTGGAAAAAAATAATGTATTCTTTGCTTTGGATGCCGTGGGTGGAAATACAACAGTGGCTGAACACGAAGAAGCAGAAGACGGAGAGGAGGCGTGCTACTCCTCCTTGGTTGTTGATTTATCAGCCAGCGCTAGTGCAAAAAGGAAGAGGGTCACACGAAGAACTTCGTCCCCGAAAGACTGCCCACCTGCAAGCCACCCTCGGCGCAATGTCAAAAAGTCTCGTGCTAAGACAGCTGCTAATAAGAGGAAAAAACTGGAGAGAAAACCCGTTAAGTTGGGGCTTACGCGCGTATCGCAGAGGCGTGCTCACACTTCACAGCCCGCCGTCAGCAGCTCCTCTGAGGCTGCCACCTTCATGGACCCATGTTTCCCCAAGGATCACACGGATTGGGTTGTGCGTAACGTACATCAGCAGTTGGACAGGAAACTGCCCGAGCAATCTCTCAACTGTGCAACTGCCCGCATGCCAAGGAGGCAGGAGCAGCACAACAGGCTATGTGGAGCGAAATCGGGGAAACGATTCCGGTGCTCGGAGTGCCCGCGCATGTTTGTGAGCGAGCCTCTGAGAGACATTCATTTGGTGTGTCACTGTCCTCAAGGATTCCAATGCTGCTATTGTGATTTCACTGGTAAATTGCATCCACTGTTAACGCATTGTTGACATTCACTCGCCATGTCATGTTGCTTATTGCATTGTCCACGTGTATGTGAATCGTATCCCTATTCCATTATTTTCCCCCTTTAAACCATGATCAAGTAGTAGGCATCTAACAAAGCATTAATGGATAAAAAATCTTTGCCCTGCACTTCCGATTAGCACGGTTGGCAAAGTACGGTACAAAACAAGTTATACACAAATCATGGATAGAATGGCATGTGATAATTAAATTTATTTACATACGATATGAAATATGTCATGTTTAGGCAAATGAAGCAAACAAAATTATTCATCTTTTTTTCACATTTTATGAAGCGCGTTTCTGATCATGGTCCGTTTTAATGAGAGACCACGTTGGATACGGTCGCAGGTCGCAAATGGAAGAGGATGCGTAAGCACCTGCTGACCCATGACCTCGTTTCACTGGTCTGGAGCTCGGACTCGCCCCGTGTGCCACGCCTGGCCACGAGAGGGCATCCGCCTCACGGAGAGGCATCCCTTTGTGCGCCATCGGCTCACGCTCGCGTTCAGAGTCGCCCTCCTAAGGGCGGTGAAGATTCGCGTGTCACTACGAACCCACACTCTGACCGCACGTTCAGGTGCACAGCCTGTGGCAGGTGAGCGTTTGGGCTGTCAAGTCTAATTCAACTAAACTTTTTTTATTTTACCAGGTAAGGCCCACTGAGCTATATAGCTCTTTTTTTCAAAAACGACGTGGCCATAAATGATAGCTCAACAAAGTGGCCTATGTGGAAATTTATCGCAGCCAAATACTCTAAATGCATGATGTTGATGGTAAATTTGGAGGGGGAAACCAGAGGACCCGGAGAAAAAATCACAACCACGGAGAGAGAGACGTGCAAACTCCAAATATACAGACGTCAAGAGTCGGGTTCGAACCCACGATCTCGTAAAATTTGCCCGATCTCATACAATCTTGGAAGCTAAGCAGGCAAAAAAAGACCTGCACAGCGCTTAGACGCACGAGCACCATGCACAGCAGTCCATTACAGGTGGCCGCTAGGCTACAGGGTGAGCAGCAGAGAGCAGTACAGCAAAATAAATTGTACTATATGTCTATGTTCTCTGCCATCACAAACCCACCCTGACCGTCGTGGTAGAATATGGTCATATAACCCCCATAACACGCATGGCATGGGGAGGCCATTATCAAGCAATGAATTGAAAAATAGGGTCGTACATGCAAGTAAATTAAATTAGTTTACTGCTCAAATGAGTGTTTGACCGTGCTCACCTGTGGGACTAACTCAATTTAAAACTGGACAAATTCATCAAAGGGTAGCTCAATGTTGAATTAAAGCCTGAATAGCCCGTGGATGGGTGACCACTGCACGCAACAGGCTGTTATAGGGATATGTGGTGAGGAGCAGATTGACAATGTCTAAAACGTGGAGCCACAATCCTGAGAAAAAAGGACTTTACAAATATGCAAATTCTTTTTTCCCTATGGAAGAATGCAAATACATTTAACCCTGACACCTGCTTCTATGCTAATGAACGAACAAATGTTTGAGAGTAGTGCATAATCCATGCGTACGCATGATTTTGCCGCACTTGTTTCGACTACATACACAGATTATTCGCAACCTCGGGTAGGCCTCTTTTAACGCATGTACATTTTTCTTATGCAACTGACAAACCAGAGAAGGAAAGGATTCATGTGGCTTAGTAGCGTATAAACACACACGACTCGTCACGCTCTTCTATTTCCCCCTGTTCTAGGGAGTGCTCAACCAGGCAGGCGCTTTATCGGCACGTGAAGACGCACACCAACGAGAAGCCGTACATCTGCTCACAGTGTGGCCACCAGACGCGGCTGAAGGCCTCACTCGACATGCACATGCGCACGCACACAGGTGATGTGCTCGACAGTGACGGCACACCACACGCGGCTGCCCTTTTCATCATATATATACACTGAGACAAAAGTTTTGCTGGCTGGCTTCCTGCCTGGGTTTTTGGATGACTGGCGCCCAAGTGCGCATGCGCGGTGACGTCACCCACATCCCACAGCGTTGAGGCGGGTTCATGCGTCGTGCTGACACCACCCCCCCCCCCACACTCGTCCTCCACCCCGGCCGTGGATAATGCGCAAATGCTGTGAAATACACTGTGATACTGTCATATTAAAAATGTTTTTCTGGGTAGAGGGAGGGAGGGAGGGACGGATGGTCAAAACCCAAAGGAGTAAAAAAAAAAATCTAAAGAAAATAGCTTTCAAAGTAATTATATTTTTATAAGATTCCTGACATTGTGCGTTGCAGGTGAAAAGCCCTTCCAGTGTGAACTTTGCCCATACAGCAGCTCGGACGCCAGCTGTCTGCGACGACACAAGCGCACGCATGCCTCCGAGAAGCCCCACAAGTGCAAGCTCTGCTCCTACACATGGTGGGTGCTCCGGCGGGGCCCTGTGGGTTCCTCTTATACTCTTCCCCCGCTCCTCCTACTCGCTTATGCTGTGGATGTCAGCACACCTCACCGTTTGCTTCCTGGTTGGTGGTTTTGGTAGCAGTTAGAGCAATGAGCAGGAGCCACTCACCTTCCAGCAGGAGCCCTTCTTGAAATTACTTTTCTATTTTTTAGTGTCCTGGTTCTTGCCTGAGATGTAAAAAGGCATTATGAAGCTGATTCACGTTCTTTTTTTTACCACATAAATAAGCTCCAATGATGTACGAGTTGTCTTGTGGAAAAAAAAATCAATGCTCACCCTATGTAGTTCTGGCTGACACCAATACTGTGTAAACATCTGTGACATTCACATAGTCTGTCAAGTGTTGGCATCCTATTGAATTCCCCATAGTGACTGCAAGTTTGTTGTATTGACTAGGACCGTTTTTCTGTTGACTTTACTTAAATAAACGTTGCTCTATTGATCTCCACATATACGCAGCAGCAGCAGCTACCTCTCCCTTTCTGATGTAACGATTGAGATAAAATAAAAATGTGCACAATATGCAAGTTCAGACTTGTGTGACAGCATTGGTAGACCATCACTTACGCTTCCTTTCTTCGTCAGTGTGGTAAATTATGTTCAAATAACCCCCATGACTTGCCCGGCAAGGCGAGGCCCTTATCCAGCAGTAGATTGACAATACATGTACTGTGCACGTATTCCTCAGCAACCATGAATAGCTGCCTCTGAATGCAGGATACACCAAGGAAGGAGAGAACACCACAAAATAACTTCTTAATTTTTTTTTTAATAAGGAACCCATATTCTATTTTTGAGGGGTTATCTGCAAATTTTATCAGTGTGTGAATGAGTTTGTCAATGAGTGGGTGCGTTGTGGGAAACTTTTGGGTGGGTGGGTGGGTGACTAGTCGCTCACCCATTCATTCACGCATTGACTCAACCCATTCATTTGCACACTCACTACAATGCAGGTCACAGCACTTCTCTTTCTGGTTCTTCCCATTGTCTCTTTTCCCAGGCCTTCATAACCTCGCTCAATTCAAGACACACTTGTGAAATCTTATCAATTGCAACTTTGATAGTGCTGATTGTTGCTGGCCACTCCATGTTTTGGACCTTGTGGCCTGGCTCAAAATCTGTTAAATAAAAATAATCACCACTGATATATTTGCCATGATTGGGATTCAAACTGGGCCTCCGGTTTCGTAACTCAGTGCACTATGAACCATGATCAATCCACTGCTGCATGAAGGCCTCTCCAAGCTTACACCACCTGTCCCGCCACATCTAGACGCAACAATGTATCCACCAACTGCATGTCAAGTGATTTCATCAGTCCATCTCTTTGGTAGACGTTCCCTTGGATGTGTTCCATTCTTTGGCTGTCAATACGTTATTATTCTTGAACCATCCATCTTTCCTTTGGGCGATGATGTATGTTTCAAGGGTCGCAGATAAGAGGAGGTCCGTTCTGTTCATTATGATGGCACGTGTTCCAATGGGTCCCCCCCCCAATAAAATTGCCACTTTGGCCTGAGTTCAGTTCACACTATAATCACACTCGCATAGGTAGGGAGTGCCTCTACAAATTGTATCTAGTGGAGGTCACTGCAGATGATTACACTGTGTTTATCCCCCCCTCTAACGCCTCGCAGCATCCAGAAGAAGTGCATGGACACTCACATGCGGCGGACGCACACTGGCGAGTCTCTAAGCTGCCCGCGTTGCCCCTTCTCAACGTACAACCGCCAAAGCCTGGGCCGCCACCTCGCCCGCCACCGCTCGTCGGCCAAGCAACTGCCCCGCTCGGAACTTCCACCACACATGCAGAGCACGCGGCGCGTCAGGCGCGGTGGCCGAGCGCGGACACGTGGGGGCCACACCGGCCACGAGCAATCCCAGGACTTTGCGTCAGAGAAGGTGGAAGTGCAGGTGGTCGCCGAGTGGCTGACGGGAACGATTTAAAGCCGGCGAACGTGTTTTACCTTGGTGATCTGAGGCGGTGGAGTTAATAAGGGGTTAATGAGGATGTTTTGGACGCGGCGCTCCGCTGTAAATGAAACGCTGCAAGTTTTTTTAACTCTCTTCCGTTCTCTACTAACTGATGTTTGACAATTGTAGACATTTTAGATGTTTATTATTTGAATTCCAAGGCATCGATGCAAAAGAGGTCTGTCGTTCACACTTATCAGAAAATGCAATCTCTTGGATAAAGAGGCAAAATATTTCCATGCTCTCCTTTTGCGTGGTTTGACATTAGTCTTCACAGGTGACATCGTGTTAATAAATTATTGTTACTGAGGAATTGGTTCGTGGGTACAGACACAGAGCACACCACATGATGACCCCTCATGGATCTGCATCGTCTCTGCCATGCGAAAGTGCCAAGTGAAACAACTCTGGGGTTCCCTTTATCCACTCCCGGTTATGCAGTACACACAGTCTGGAATACGGTATACACAGCATCTAAATAATGTACATATTTTTAGCTCTTTCGGTAAAGTCACGTTGAAGAGAAACAATAAAATAATAAAATATATAAAAAACAATAAAAATTCTCACGACGTTTCGACCATAACACAAACGGTCATCATTTTTTCACACCTGATGATGACCGTTTGTGTTATGGTCGAAACGTGATAATTTTTTTGTTTTATATATATTTTATTATTTTATTGTTTCCCTTCAGCGTAACTTTACCGAAAGAGCTAAGAATATGAATTACTGCAGTCACGAAAGCTTTAAATAAAATTTTTTACATATTCTAATAAATTCTAGATTTGAAGCTTTCATGACTGCAAGGATCCATACTCTTTGGTTCTATTCGGTAAAGTCACCGAATAGAACCAAAGAGTATATTCTAATAAAGTGTACAAAGCCTATAATACAGTATTCTGGGTTCTCCTGTCACTTCAACGGATGCATGTTCAGCTATTGTCGGCTTGAATTCTGGTGTTTACTTTTACGGCTTGTCAAGTGGGAGACAATTCCGATCTTAGGCTTACAAACGCGGTTACATATCTTACAAGTGTGTGTGTGGGGGGGGGGGAGGCTTTAAAGCACGAGTTTTAGGATGCACTCTTTTCTTCTGCAGAGACCTCACACTCCACTCAGCAGTGGATAGAACATTCCAGTCCAGGTCTGTACATCTGCGTCTGTTCAGTGCGACGAGTTCCCCAAGTTTGAATATCTCGCGTGCTTTGAAGTTTGAGCGGGGGGCACTGTGCTCGGCTGGCTGCAGAGCACCGCTTTCGTGGTGTACGGGAGTCTTCCATATGGGCAGAATGTCGGTCCCAGTGGAAGGTGTGCCCGAATGAGCGTGCTCTCAGTGGCAGTGATCTCTCAAGAACTTCGGCGTGGGGGATCCTGCCCTGCCACTTCACGTAACACATGACTGTTTCTGCCGTGGTATGTTGAAGCAGTCGCAAATAGGTCATGTCCAAAAAAGACGAGTGTAAATGTTTTTATTAAATATGCATATGTGCCCGTAAGCATTTTAACACAACTCCAACAGTACTATACACCGTACATTGAATTAGCATTTAAATTATTTAAAAGCACCGTCACACATGTGATTATTTTGTAAATTCTGAAAATGTGCACTAGCGCCAACTTGGCGGCCTTCCAACTGTTGTGCAATGCCTTTGCATGACTTGGCCTTTGTTAGCTTGGAGAGCGAAATGGTGGCAAAGTTCTTTGTAACTTAATTGCATTACGCTTGTATGATGTGCATACAACACATCAGAGGGGTGACTGTTTTGTGAATGTATGTCGAATTCCATGTGACATAGCGGAGCAAGTATACTTGCATGTTCCAACAACAAGCAGTTAAACCCTGTGCTTCGGAAACATGGTCATTAAGAAAAAAAGTTTTTTTTAAAGTTTTTTTTTAAAAGCATAGAGAGTTTTTTCCATGCGCGACGTTACACTGAGCAATGGAAAGAGGAACAACATGGATAGAACGCGTGCAGGTTAATGACGTTATTTGATTTTTGTTTAAAAAGGTGGCTAGTTCAGTTCATTTATTAGGTATAGCCCTGTGAGCCATTCGGCTCTTGAATCGGGTGCAACCGCAACAAACAAAAAACACGAACAAGAAAACATCTTAAAGTGACTACGCGCAACAGAAAAATCCAGGGAAAAAACGGCAATGAACGATGTCTAATGGCCAAGAAATAATGAGTGGCAGCCAAAGAACGGAACACATCCAAGAGCATCCCAAGCCAAAGAGATGGAGTGATGAAATCAGCTCGTGTGGTGTGGCGAATTCATGATGCCATCGCGTGGCCGATGGTGACTTGTATGAGGGACATAGGACGCAGGAAGGCGGGTGGCTGTTTTTTTAAATTTAAGTCAATGCTTCATGGGGCTCCGTGGCCGACAGAAGGCAGTGCATAATCCATTGTCGTACTGCACTTCTATGATCTCACGTCTTATGCTGCCATCCTTCACCAACCCGTACCAACCAGCGTAAGGGGCCGTCCATAAATGACGTCACGCACCTAGGGGGGGTCAGACATTTGTGACGATGTTTGACGATGGGTGGGGGGGGGGTTGAGAAACGTGACGTCACATCAAAATGCGCAACTTTAAATAAATATAGACAACTCGTTCTACTGAATTAAATAGACTTTTTAATAAATGTTTTCTCCTACATCAGAATGCAGCGCCACATTAAATACCCACTCCAATGACAATAGTTTAAAGCGATTTGAAGCATGTTTTATTTTGTTTGGGGGGGGGGGCAAAGCTTTGTGACGTCATATTTGAGGGGGGTCTGACTTTTTGTGACGCCGTGTGACGATGGGGGGGGGGGGGTGTCAAAAATCGTCCAAAATCGCGTGACGTCATTTATGGACGGGCCTCTAAAGTAAATAACCCGCACTGCACAGGGAAGCCGTCATTCAGTAGTGGATTAACAAAAGAGCTGCACACGAACATATACCCAAATAGGGATAGACACATGACCTTCCCATTCCTTTTGCCATCTCTGCTTTGCATCCAGTGTGCATGTTAATGTTGCATATCATATGCTGGTACAGTATGATCACGTCCCATACCTGGAATTTACCAGAGGATAACTTTTAACCGTTTGCAATACGTGCTTACAGATGTATGGCGAGTGTCGAAGAGAAGGCAAAAGTAACCTTAAGTCGAGGTCTTTCCATCAGGTGTGGCGAGAGCAATTTGTGGACTGCACCTTTCAGAATTTCGTCTACAGAGCCACTGCCATAGTCTGGCGTTTCACATACACTCTGCTCTTATCTGTGTACAGATGAGCACAAGTGGCCCTATATCTCAATTTTAATCTTTCTGTAACTCAAATTTGTAAATGTACTATGGTGTAAAAACAATCTGCCCTTAGCCGACTTCCGACGCTACCGGTAATTTACGATTTAATTTTTTTTACGTGAACTGTTTTGACCTTTCGCAAGCACTGGTCGCGCATTTGCACGTGATACAGCCGGGGGGGGTGGTGGGTGATGCGTGCACCAATCCGGGCGCAACGCTATGGGATGTGGGTGACGTCAACGCCGCGCAATTGACCGCTCACGCACCAGCCAGCCAGCAAAACTAAAAAAATGACGTGACGTGACGCACTTATTTTCACTCTCATTTATATTTGCTTAAATCCTTAGCTTTTGCTTTGCTTGTTTTTTCACTTTGGTAACAAACCATGCCTCCTTAAGTTCTCATCCGCTTTCACCGGACCGAACTTGACACCTTGGGGGCCGTCCATAAATGATGCCACGTGATTTTGGACGGTTTTTGACCCCTCCGCTCCTCGTCACAAAGTCAGACCCCCCTCAAATATAACGTCACAAAGCTCTGCCCCCCCCCCCCCCATTGTCATTGTAGTGCGTATTTAATGTGGCGCTACACTCTGATGTTGTAGGATAAAACATTTATTAAAAAGTCTGTTTAATTAAGTAGAACGTATTCTTGGTTCTTTCGGTAAAGTCACGTAGAAGGGAAACAATAAAATAATAAAAATATAAAACAATACAATTCTCACGACGTTTCGACTGCAACACAAGCAATCATCATTAGGTGTGAAAACCACAGCAAGAAAATTTGAAAGAACCAAGAATATGAATCCCTGCAGTCACGAAAGCTTTAAATCAAAATGTAAGTAGAACGTGTTGTCTATCTTTATTTAAAGTTGCGCATTTTGATGTGACGTCACATTTATCAACCCCCCCCCCCCCCTTGTCACACATCGTCACAAATTCTAGATTTAAAGCTTTCGTGACTGCAAGGATCCATATTCTTTGGTTCTATTCGGTAAAGTCATGTAGGTAAAAAAATAAAACAAAAATCACGACCCCCCCTGGTGAGACACTGTTTAACCAATACATACTTCACTTGGAATGGAACTTTCTACAAACAAACTGAGGGCACCCCAATGGGCTCCCCCCTTTCTCCAGTTATAGCTAACATTTTCATGGAGAAATTTGAGACTGACGCCATCCAGACTGCCACTCTGCACCCAACCTTATGGAAGAGGTACGTGGATGACACTTTTGTCATCTGGCCACATGGCCGGCCTGCTCTAGACCAATTCTTCGACCACATCAATTCCATACACCCAGCCATCAGATTTACCATGGAAGTCGAAATAGATGGCAAGATACCTTTTTTGGATGTCCTAATTAAAAAGAGACCTGATGGTTCAATGAGCCACTCTGTCTACAGGAAAGCCACCCATACGGATGCTTATCTGAAACCGGATTCCCACCACCATCCATCACAGAAGAATTCTCTCATCAAGACTGGTTCATAGAGCCCAATGCATATCCGACCAGGAACACATAAGCAGTGAACTCAAGCACGTACACCAAGCTCTTAGGGCTAATGGTTACTCCGACTATACAATCCGCAAAGCTATCACTCAAACCATGAAGAAGAACCCTCTTGAGGAGCCTTTCAAAACCATCACTTTACCCTACATTGCTGGGATCACAAAAAAGATCTCCAAAATCTTGAATAAACACAAGATCCAGGTCCGTTTCAACACATTACAAAAAATCCGTGATCTGGTTCCGTCTGTAAAAGATGTGATTCCAGACATACAATACCCTGGTGTCTACAAACTAAGTTGCCTCTGTGGTAGTAGTTACATTGGAGAAACCAAACGCCATGTCTCGGACCGCATTCGTGAACATAAAGCAGACCTTAAACACGGTAGGACCAACACCTCGGCCGTAGCAGATCATTGTTCTAATTCAGTAGGCTCACATGCCATTGACTTTTCCAAGACGGAGGTTCTTTGTAAGCCATCTGGCTTCCATGAGAGATTCGTTCATGAGGCTATCCACATATACAAGCACAGACAATTTCAACCGAGAAGATGGATTCTATCTTAGCAATCATTGGAAAGATTTGATAAACCATTTCAGTTCTTAATTGATTGTTCACGCTTACAGTGGCTTTCAGACAGCATACATTATAAAAAATTTCGTCTCCCCCTCCTCTTTTAAAAAAAAAATAGATGGACTAGTCCTGGGCAAACTGCCAAATCGCTGCGCGTGACGCCAACGTTTTTTTTTTTATAAATAAATAAATGTGCCGTTTAAAAATAAATTTATGCAAACCAACACACCTGATGATGACCGTTTGAGTTATGGTCGAAACGTCGTGAGAATTTTTTATTGTTTTATATATATTTTGTTATTTTGTTGTTTCTCTTCAACGTGACTTTACCGAAAAAACTAAGAATATGAATTACTGCAGTCACGAAAGCTTTAAATCAAAATAAAAATCACGACGTTTCGCTTGTGTTGTGGCTGAAACGTCGTGATTTTTGTTTTAGTTTTTACCTACGTGACTTTACCGAATAGAACCAAAGAGTATCGTCACAAATGTCTGACCCCCCCCAAATGCGTGCGTCATTTATGGACGGCCCCTTACCCGTCTCTGATGCCACGCGGAGGCAATCCGCACGTGCGTGGGTGTGCCGTGACGTCACAAAGACATTTCGCAGACCGCATTGGAGGCCGAGCCCCCACCCCGCCCCTCTAATCCCTCCCACCATCGGCCCGCTGCGCATCACGTGCTCCGCGCGTCAACCAATCGCGCGCGCTCCCGAATAACGGGGCTCGGGTGCGGCGAGCGATGCTCGCCAACGCGCCTCGCCTTGGGCCGTGCCAGCATTAGCGGCGGCCATCTTAGCCAGGGGTAGATCCATAACCGCGCAGAGCCGGTGGTGGGTATTGGGGGGTGGTGGGTACTGGGAGGTATGGGGTATTGGGTGGTGGTGGGTATGGGGTATTGGGGGTGGTGGGTATGGGGTATTGGGGGTGGTGGGTATGGGGTATTGGGGGTGGTGGGTATGGGGTAGTGGGGGGTGGTGGTAGTGGGCACTCCCCTACCCTCACCTAAGATGGCGGCGCGACGACCCCGCGCGCCTCTAAAACCCAGGACGAGCGGGCGGTCGTCGAGACTGTTGGACACACACACACTGTGACACACAGTGACACACACACTGTGGGTGGACACACAGTGACACACACACTGGGACACACACTGTGGGTGGACACACACAGTGACACACACACAGTGACACACACCCTGGCTGGGTACGGGTGGTTGCTGGAGGACGCCGAGGCGTGTAAACAGCCTCGGCGTCGCTGTTAACAGACAAAACCCCAGCAATAATTATATAACCACAGCAAACGATAAGAAGACGAAGGGTGTAGGAGGGGGGGGGGTTAAACATTACGAGCGGCCGTGGTGTGCGCGCGTTGTCCTGCCCCACCAAAGCGCCGCTGTCTTCGCCGGCTGCCACTGCAGCAGGGGTCGAGGTTGGCAAGCAACGGGAAGCAGCAGCAGCAGGAGGAGATAACACGGCGGTAGGCGACTGCAGTAGCGGCAGCAGTGGCGGCAAAGAGCAGCGATAGTTATAGCATGCAGCAGTAGGGGGTGGTACAGCGACTGATGCAGCAGTAGGGGGGTGGTACAGCGACTGATGCAGCAGTAGGGAGTGGTGCAGCAGTAGGGAGTGGTACAGCAGCAGTAGGGAGTGGTACAGCAGCAGTAGGGGGTGGTACAGCAGCAGTAGGGGGTGGTAAGCGACTGATGCAGCAGTAGGGAGTGATGCAGCAGTAGGGAGTGGTGCAGCAGTAGGGAGTGGTGCAGCAGTAGGGGGTGGTACAGCAGCAGTAGGGAGTGGTACAGCAGCAGTAGGGGGTGGTAAGCGACTGATGCAGCAGCCGATACACAATCAGCAGGAGGGATTACAACGGCGGGACCGTAGTTAGTGTCGAGCGTCAGCGAGTTATAACTGCAGCAGTAGGAGCTATAGCAACTACACGGTACAACAGCAGCAGCAACAGCAGCAACAGCAGGAGGATTTGTCACGGCGGTGACACCTGAAGTAGGAGCTGCAGCAGGGATGCAGCAGTGACAGCAGCGGCAGCTGCCGAAGCAGCTGCGGCAGCAGACCCCGCAGCATCGCCGACTGCAGTACCATCGGCAATTGCCACGTAATCGCCGATGATAACAGTCTCAGTATTAGTGTCGGCGACTACAGCAGCAGTAGTCGACGCCGCAGCACGAGGTGCAGCAGTGTGGCAGGATCGGCTAGAACAGGCGAAGTGGCGTCATTAAGTATCTGCAGCAGCAGCAGCAACAGTCGCGGCACGCCAGACGGCGGCATTTAGAACTGCAACAGGGGGGGGGATGGATGGAGCGAGCAGCAGTAGCAGCAGCAGTAGCGGAGGCAAGAGAGGGAATCGTCATCGCTAACAGCGGCAAGTGGCATCATTGAGGGCGACAGAAGAAGGAGCAACCCACCCACCACCGAGCGATATCTGAACTATAAGTAGCGGCGAAGTCACCTCCGGCGCTTACAGCGGCTGCACCACCTGTAAGTGTGGTGGTGCTGCTGCAGCAGCAGCAGTAGCAGCAGCAGCATCGTGTTTGACGATCCGCAGCATCGCCGTCATCACGCCCAGCTAAACGAAAGAGCAGCGGGCTGAGAGTGTTTGTCAAACGGCAGGAGCGGGAGGAGTCTGCAGCTTCAGCACCCCCGTGCACAGCCATCTGCAGGGAATTGACAAACACCGCCACCAACCAACCACCGCCGTCGTCGTCAGCAGCATCGGTACCAACACAACCACAACAACCACCACCACCACGATCATCACCACCGCCATCAGCTGACACACAATGGCCAGCACGCCGGACACCCCGAGCCTCAGCCCGAGACGCGAGACCACAGCGCTCGGCCGCTTCCCTGCCACGCACGGCTCCGACAGCGCCGCCGCCGCCGGTGGCGGCGTTGCGGCGGCGGCTGCGGGGGCCTCCTCCTTCGACTGCGCCCTGATGCCGGCCGCCGGCGGCTTCGGACGGCACCAGAAGCTGCACTCCGTGCTCACCTGGCTGCCCTACATCTTCGTGGGCTGCGTGCTCTGCGCCGACGCCTTCAACAGCGCGCCCCCGGACAGCTACCGATGCCGGCCGGACCCCGCGGCCTTGCCGGCGAACGCATCGGACGCGCAAGTGTGGCTCTGGCTCACGCGTCGGGAAGCTCGTGGCGGTCAGCAGCAGCAGCAGCAGTACCTGCAGCAGCAACAGCAGCAGTACCTGCAGCAGCAGATGAACGGGGTTGGTGGTGGTGGTGGTGGCGGTGGCCCGCACTGCGCACGTGTTCGCTACGGTGTGGCCGCTGGGGCTGCTGAGGCCAACGGGACTGCGGTGGACACGAGGGAAGAGTGCACGGCGTGGGTCTACAGGGTCAGCCCCAGCCAGCCGGGGCTGCGGAGAACCATCGTGACCCAGGCGAGTGCATGGGGGGTGGGGGTGGTCACTGGTGCTGAGATTCGTGATTGTTGTTCACGGACCGATGCCCACGGGGGGTGAGGGCCGACCGACATTGGCACAGTTGGTGGCCGAGGATGGGCGGTGGTGCCATTTGTCTGTGCGGTTGGACACCGCTTTTCAACTGAGGTTGAAAGTATTCATGCATTCGCTCTTGCCTTGTCTGTGGCAGATGGTACAATTATGAATGGGACTTTTTTTAAAAAAATGTTTTGTTACTGTTATCGCCGTACGTAGACTTTGCAAAAGGAAATGTGTCCGGTAATTTTGACCTGCAGTGTCGTGCTTGAACACAGCAGCGGTATGGAGATAATTACATGAAACTGTCTCATCCATTCGATCTATGGGTGGAGGGAGGAATCAATGATTGACGTTCCTGAAGGAAGAACACCCCCCCCACACACACATTGGGATGATTGTCCGGACTTGATTCTGGCTCACTGGAGCGCTTGTTCCCATTTAATAACCCCCAGCAAATCTGCAGGCCAATTCGGGGCCAAAGTGATGGGAGGGAACTTGTGCGTAGAACAGGCTCTGCAGTGCGGCTGACGTGAAGAGGCTAGAGTGAGGTGTCAATTGTCATTGATCGTAACTCGACGTGGGCGGGTGGGGGGGTGATGCATTATTCACGAGCTACAATTGTCGTGAGCATGTGTGTGGTTTCACCTTCACGCAACTCCTCTGCCATGAGTTTCTGACCCCTGCGGGTTTTGTGTGTTAGGATGAGTGGGGGGTGGGGCAATTGGCACGGTGAGTTGGGAAAAGGGAGGTCCGCTGCTCGTGCGGATTGGTGGTTAAGCGCACTGCTCCGTGAAACCGGCGACCTGAGTTTATATTTCTATTTTAATTTAACGAGCTCAGACCCACTAAGCTATATATATAGCAGAAGCGACCTGGCTATCACAACTGATTGCTCAACGAAGTGGCTTGTCATCATGCGGAAATTTAGAGCAGCCAAATACTCATAAACAAACGCAAGATGTTGATTATAAATGTGGAGGGGAAAAAAATCGGAGGACCCGGAGAAATATCCACACGACTACAAGGAGAAGATGCAAACTCCAAACGTACAGATGTCAGGGTTCAAATTGAACCCACGACCTGCTGTATACCGGGCAATTCAGTTAACATCTCACCACCATGGCGCTCACCCAGAAATCAAGTTTGATTCCTGGATGGGCCCCATCGCCAGCCCAAATTGACCCAGCAGTTGTAATATGTACGGTCGACCAGCCTCAACGACCGACACAGAGTAGGGAGACCTTCATCCAATTGATAAGAGGATTGACAAAATGCTGTGAAACTGCCACTTGATATAATAACCTTATTACTGTGACATTGAGCTGAAATGTATTTTAAATTAACACGCCAGCACTGACCTAATTAGGGTACTGACCTTCAATTATCTCAAGTGAAAACGTTTTCACTGCTCACGCTGTCACTATCATCCCCATCGAAATACATTTTCATCGAGGAACGATGTGGCAAGGCGTCCTTGCGTTATCTCTTCACAGGCTGCATCATCGTCATTACTTTGCGTCACATCTGCCCCGAGTGTATGCCTCCCTACTCTGTACATTGTCTAGAGATGAGGTTGCATTTTGACGGAATATAAGCCCAAGATTGTATGAAAACTCATGAAACGTTGCGGAGGATTATGAGCGAAATAAATGTGACGCTATTGTTCGTAACTAAAACGTAAATAAATATTGTCTTCAACAGCCGAGTCAGTTGCCTTCTGGCTTCGGGTTATCAGAAATCAGAATCAGAAAGGGTTTTATTCGCCATGTAAGTTCACACCGACACGGAATTTACTTTGGCAGGATGGTGCATACATTCAACATATAGGAATCTAAAATCTTAAATAAGTTTTAAACAAGTCTTACTATAATGAGGGTTAAAAGTCTAACACCAAGGGGCTGAAGTATATAAAATTAAATAAATATCGAATATAAAATAGCTTTAAGATATAATTTAAAAATAAAAAATACAAATAGGGTAACATAGTTAATATCGGCAAGGTGTCGTTATGTAGATCAAATGTTAAAAACAGTGTTAGCCCTTGGCCTTGTTTAACAGGCCAGCAGCAGATGGGAAGAAACTGTTTTTATGGCGTGAGGTTTTGGTCCTGATGGACCGAAGCCTTCTGCCGGAGGGGAGTAGCTGAAACAGAGAGTGTCCAGGGTGGGAGAAATCGGCCATAATCTTCCTCGCTCGCCTCATGGACCTTGTCGTGTGCAGGTCCTCGAGGGTTGGTAGATTGCAGGCAATTACCTTCTCAGCAGTGTGGATGATACGCTGCAGTCTGCTCTTGTCCTTGGCAGTGGCAGCAGCGTACCAGACGGTTATGGAGGAGGTGAGGATGGATTCAATGATTGCTGTATAGAATTGCACCATCATTGTCTTTGGCAGGTTGAATTTCTTCAGCTGCCGTAGAAAGTACATCCTCTGTTGAGCTTTCTTGGTGAGGGAGCTGATGTTCAATTCCCACTTGAGGTCCCGGGAGAGAATAGTGCCCAGGAAGCGGAAGGACTCTACAATTTTGACTGGGGAGTCTAACAGGGTGATGGGGGTGAGTGGTGCTGTATTCTTCCTGAAGTCCACAACCATCTCAACTGTCTTTAGAGCATTTAGCTCTAAGTTGTTCTGGCTACACCAGGTCACCAGATTGTCAGCTTCCCACCTATAGTCAGACTCATCCCCACCAGAGATCAGCCCAATGAGGGTGGTGTCATCCGCAAACTTCAATAGTTTGACGGACAGATGATTGGAGGTGCAGCTGTTGGTATACAGGGAGAAGAACAGAGGGGAAAGGACGCAGCCCTGAGGAGTTCCGGTGCTGATGGACCTGGAGTCAGAGACTTGTGTTCCCAGCTTAACGCACTGCTTCCTGTCAGACAGGAAGTCTGTGATCCATTTACAGGTGGTGTATGGCACGTTCAGCTGGAAGAGCTTGTCCTGAAGCAGGGCAGGGATGATGGTGTTGAAGGCAGAGCTGAAGTCCACAAACAGGATCCTGGCGTAGGATGCTGGGGCGTCCAGATGCTGTAGGGTGAAGTGTAGGGCCATGTTAACTGCATCGTCCACAGACCTGTTGGCTCTGTAGGCAAACTGAAGGGGGTCCAGGAGAGGGTCTGTCCAGCAGTATTTGTAATCAGATGTTGGTTGAGTTTTGATCTCATTGGTCTCATCAGCAGAGTCGGGCTCATTAAATAAATCCTGCCTGGTTGCCAGACGTAGTTGACAAGAGCACCCCACCTTCACAACAGGGTCCTGTTTAGTGCGTAAATATATATTGTATAGAATCTCACCGTGCGCTGTTATGTGGCAATGTAGGTAATTCAATAAATAATCAGATCTCCGTCTTCGTAAAAATATATTGTTTAGCTCCCAGGCTGCTTGGCTTTCTCTACTTATAAAGCTTTTTTTTGTCAGTCTACTGATGGATGAGGGCCTCCCCATGCCATGCAGGTCACCGGGGTTTTTTAACCTTATCACATCGGTGAGTGGGTTGGTAAAGGCAGGGAGTGTAGTGTAGAAGTACAATAAAACAATCTATTTGGCTGCATTGCCCTCAGCTCAACGTATCCTCACAGCTTTTAACAACCTGTTGTGCATGGTGATCGCACATGCATACGCTATGGAGGCTCAACTCTGCTTAGCTGCCAAAGTCTGATGGGATTGGGCGCAAAAGCTGCAATACAGTATCAGTTGTTAAGTGTGCCTTAGGCTTGCCTAAGCTTAGGGCATAGAATTCCATATGGCTAAGCGGTTTAGGTGCGCTGTATGCATGCATGTATTTTTGGGGGGAAAAATGGTTGTGTTGGGTGAGGACGTGTGCAGTGTTTGGAGGGAGCACTCATTAAGGAGACAGGTATTGGAGTGGTCACCTTGCATCCAGTGGCCAAAGGGAAGACCGAAGACCAAATGGTGGGGTATTGTTAGGGCAGGTCTTGAAGGGTCACTTGCCTAATGTGCAGCTGCTGCGGGATCCGGCAGAGGTTATAAGGCGTCGGCGAGGTTTGGTGGCATCAACGGATTTGGCCGGGATGATGTCTTGTAGTGTGAGGATGTAATCATCCTTTGCTGAACAGCATTGACGGCCGTAAATGTTGCTCCCTTCTCACTGTCAACCCTCCTTCCCATCGTCTTGTTGTTCTCGTTGCAGTGGGACCTGGTGTGCAAGAAGTGGTGGCTCGTGCCGGCTGAACGCCTCGCGTTTATGGTCGGCTATGTCGTCGGCTGTGTGGCCATGGGAGCCCTGTCTGACAGGCGAGTGGTGGTGGTGATGTGAACAACGACAAGTTTCTGGTCGAAGCACCTGATGAAGCTCAAAGCAGTTGCAGCGAAACGTCGTGGTGATGTGAACAACAACAAATTTCTGGTCGAAGCGCCTGATGAAGCTCAAAGCAGTTGCAGCGAAACGTCATACGTTGATGTTAAATTCAGTCAAGGGGACTTATTGGTCAGAAGTTGATCAATACTTTGGCACGTGTAAATAATGTTTTTGTAAACATGACAATCTTGTCAGGTGGTGGAGGGTTAATGGTAGAGGGTTGAAGAATTTTTACATAAAACGACTATGGAGCCCAACCCTACAAAAGTATATGGGCCCATGGCATTGGCTACGAAAAAACCTGCATTTTAAGTAAAAAAAAACAAATTCGGTCTAATCATCCGTACAAGATGGGTTATATGATGCATTCAAACATGCCTTTGTCTACTGAAGTATTTAATTGGCAATATGAGGTGCTGAGGGGTGACTGGGCATTTTGCATATTTCCAACAGTCATATACATCGGAGCAAAATGCAATTTGCAAATTTGCAAAACAGTCTTGACTTGGCTCTGGTCTCCAAATTATGGACACTGCCGTCGGCTTGCCCACCACATACATATGCCTATCGTGTATAGCAGCAACCTGTTGTTGGTGGCTGGCCATACAAGCAGTAGCCAGGCTCATTGGACGAAGTCGGGTGCTTTTCCGGCTAATTTGGTCACGGGCGACGTGTGTGTTGGCCCCCGCTACCGTTTTGATGGCGCTCCGTCAAAGAGCACGCAATCCTCAAAGGAGGCTGTGATCCCACCATCCCATCTGCTCGGAAGTCCTCTTTTTACATCAAAGAAAACGCTATGGTTTAGTGGAGCCGAATTGACTGAACCAATCAATTGTCTAATACTCGGTTGAAGCGAGGTATTTTCTCAAAATGTTGCAATTTAAAATGTACTTCCTTAGGGTAGTTTTCATTGAATGTTTTGGCATATACCATTGCACGAAAGCAGTTCAACCGATGGATTGTATATATGTATGTATGTTGAGCTTCTTTTGCACTGTACGTAGCCAACCGTGCTGACCAGAGGTGCGGGTGGGGGAAGGACAACAAACTAAACACAAAGCAGTTCTAAAGAAATGAGTTTTCAATCGAGATTTAAAAGTGTATAGCTCCAGTGGCTTCCTAAGAAAATGGCGGCAGATTGGAGAGGCCTTCATCCAGTCGTGAATGAACTTTTGCTGATGGTGGAGGATGGGTGACCACGATACACGCCAGGTTATCATGATCTTGTCGGGCTACGTGGCGGCCAGCGGAGGCCAATACAGACAAGTCTATGCTCCCTGCCGTTACCAGCCTGAACTGACCAAGCGTGGTGAAGTATGTTAATATAACCCTCGCGACCCCACGTGGCTTTGGGAGGCCCTCATCTCACCAGTGGATTGACAAAAAATGCTGTACGAGTACACACGTACATCCTGGTAAACGCACCAAGCCGGCCGTTGTCCCGTTGAAGCGGCTGGGTGGTTTATAGCTTCCCGTGTAAAATTCCACCCCTTCAAGAAGTGGACCATAACGAGCGAACTGGGATTAGGGTGTGACTGTGCAATTCACGCGTGTGCGCGCCGGGCGAGGGATTAGAGTGACGTAACGCTGTAGCGGACTTAAAGAGCCATAACTCCTTTTGCCTGCCTGCTTTAACGGGGCAAAAATAAATTAACGCACTTCGAAAACAGCCAAGCAACGGGGCACAATAGGGGGGACTCATTGAGAAGGGGAGCCCTCTGGAATCTGGGGGTGAGGTGAATTGACTTAACATTGCAAGAATTTATCATCCTTTCTCTGCTCCTAGGTTTAATGAAATAAACTTGGTTGCCCACTGTTTGGCAATGCAAATGTAAAGATTCACTGCTGACCGCCGTTTCCACGCACACAGTGATTTGATTCATTGTCATCATTTGGAATCATGATTCCTTTCAAGACTAAATCATTTTTTTAATCTCAATATTTACCATCTGGTTTGTATTGGTTTCTCGTTTCCCACCGCTTTTGTACAGTTTGTACCATTTACTGTAACATTAGTGTATGTATATATGGTGAACTTCTTTCGCATCGTACGTAGCCAAACGTGCTAATCTGAGGTCCTGGTCGGGTGATGTGGAAAACATTTACTTACCCGGCACACCACAACCAGTATACATTCTGCAATGGCTGTGGCTAGCACTAGTCTCGTGCCCCACGCTCCAGTCTCCTTCCCCAGCACCTCCGATTCCCTCCCCCTCGGAACCTCGGATTAGCACGGTTGACTACGTACGGCGCGAAAGAAGTTCAGCATATGTACGTGCATGCCAGGAATGTGGATAAGGTTTGGTGAGAAATGTATCCCTGGCCAAGCACCCCCTGACTGACACTCATCGCGTGGGCTTTAGGCTGGGCCGCCGCTGCGTGCTGCTCATCTCGCTGGTGCTGACGTCGCTGGTGGGATTCGCGATGGGCCTCTCCAGCGGACCCGTCATGTTCACCGTGCTGCGGCTGGTGCAAGGCCTCTTTCTCCCTGGCGTCTTCCTCTCCCTCTACCTCATCCGTGAGAGCTGTCGCGTGCAAACGGGCAGTTGGTTGGGAGAATGCGAACTTGGGCTGTGCATTGCAGTGTTTATTTTGATCTTTTGCTCCCCACTGCCCCCCCCCCCCCCCCCCCGGTTTATATCCCAAGTGTGCTGTCTCGCTGTCGTGCGACCCTCCGTCTTTACAGAACATCCCACAGAAGCAGATATCGCAAAGCTACTTACTAAAGATCCTTTCAAGCGACCCCTGTTCCACACAGTAGGGTGCAGCACTTTCCCACACACCCAACGAAGAGTAATCAAGCACCCACCTGCCGTGGGCAATTTTCACTTTCCTCGTCATCGTCCAACGATCTCATCACAACCCGTCCGCTCGATCGCGTCCACGCGCTGACAAACAATCGGCAACGTCATTTAACAACGGCAGCGGGACAGAATATTTATTTATACTGGAGGAATCCGATGAGCTATGAAGCTCTTTCACAGATGTCCAATAGGGGCGGGTAAGAACGTGACAACAACTAAACAGTACAAAAACACGACAGTAGTGCAAAGTACAAGAGGGGTAAACAAAGCATCTAAACGCACACAAATTCAAACTAAACCATCCCCATCCTTTTTGATTTAAAGCTTTCGTGACTGCAGGGATTCATATTCTTGGTTCTTTCGGTGAAGTAACCTAGAAGGGAAATAATAAAATATTAAAAACATTAACCAATTAAATTCTCACGACGTTTCGACCGCAACACGTGCAATCATCATCAGGTGTGATCATCAGGTGTGATGATGATTGCTTGTGTTGCAGTCGAAACGTCGTGAGAAATTTATTGTTTTATATTTTTTATTATTTTACTGTTTCCCTTCTACGTGACCAAGAATATCATCCCCATCCTACCAAGCATAGCCCACTGAGGTATTAACTTATTTTTTCAGAAGCAACCCGGCCACAAATGATAGGACAATTGGGATAACATTGCAGAAAAAGGGAAGGAAGAATGTCTAGTGCGCCTAAATGCAATCGCACCTCAATACTCCGTGCGGAAAGTTCAAGACGTGCACACCATGATATTGTGGCTGAAATAGGTGTCACATTTGTGTCACATCTTTTACTGTTTGGCCATGTCGGGTGGTGGAGGAGTTACGGCACATTTATAAATAACGCGATCTAACCCAAAAACCTTTATTATGAATAATATTGGTCGCGAAAGCCTACGTGTTAAACTAGAAAGGAGTTTCTACATCATTAGACCTCCTTTGCCAGTACCAAAATGTAATAATAGGGTTTTTCCCCTTTTTTTCTGGCAACAAAACTGAACCCTTTTTACAAGGATTCATGTCTGCGTTAACCACAATACCTGCAGTAAAAATGCAAACAAAAAAACATACTATGATAATATATGCATTGTCCTTGAAATTGATTGGTCCACAGATGATGCCTTTTGGCATCCTCTGGTCGAGCGCCAATTGGGTCGAGGCTCAAAAGAAAGCCGTCCCTTGGTGCGGACCAATCAGTTTCAAGGACAATGCATATATTATCATAGTATTTTTTTGTTTGCATTTTGACTGCAGGTATTGTGGTTAATGCAGACATGAATCCTCGTGAAAAGGTTTCAGTTTTGTTGCCAGAAAAAAGGGGAAAAACCCCTATTATTAGAAAGGAGTTGTTGTTTTTTTTGTAAGCATGAGGGGGATTTTGTGGGAGGGGCAGGCTGCCGGAGAGTATTTAATTTCAGAGGCGATCGAGACAAACGGTGAACTCTTGAATATCCGTGGGTGGATTATCCGGGTGGCAGATTTACTGCGCTCATATTCGTTTTACACGAACTCTGGTTCTATTAATAGCTGTTCCTCACTCGTTGCGGTCAGTGACTTAAGTGCCCACGTGAACGCAGACAAATCGGAAAGTAAACCGATGACGCATTCTGCGGCATCGCCCCCCAATTTTTGCATAGATGAGTGACACATTTTTACACCATAATTACTATAATTTTCATTATTCTTGCTTTTGTTTTGTCTCGATCACCATTCTCACCTCCCACCCCCTCCCGTCACCCCGGATGATCGAGAGTTAACGGCAGTTAACATCAGCCCAGCTAACACAGCCAACGCTCACTGCAGGGCTTCACTAGTGGCCATGTGTGAGAAACGCAGGTGCTTATTATCACCGTGCTAGGACTTCCTCGCAGTCCCAACTTGTTAACGAGTACGGCCTAACGCGTTGAGCGTCGCAACGCTCCCCACGGGCATTTAACATTTTCTTGATATGCAATAGAAACTTCTTTGTTCGCATAATTGGCTTCACCGCATTGGAAATTATGCACAATTTCCCTTTGTCTTCGTAGCCGACGGCTTACCGTCGGGATATTTCTGTCGTGCGGGTTTTTGCTTTTGCATTCAAATTGATATTTAGCGCTTTTTTTTCTCCCACAGACGAAAAAAAAAATACTCGGCATGCTTTGATAACGCTCTTTTTTGCGATTCAAATGACAGCGTGATTAATAATGGAATGGAAATGCACGATTCCGCGATGAGACAGAATGAGGCATTGCCAGGTTGGGTTGTTCTATTGTTTGGTGGTGCGACAGGACTGTTCTTTCCTTGTGGTGGAGTGGTCAAGTTTATCCGCCATGTTTTTTGGCTGCAGCGGGTTCCCTAGTCCGCAGGGAAAGAGTTAAACCCCGAGTGTGAAATCCGATCGTTGGATTTGATGTTTCGTGGGCACAGACCACGGCTTCAAAAAACGACGACGCAATCATGGAGCAATGAAAAGCGTAAAAGCGATAAGTGTGTTGCCAAATTAATTGCTACACATTTATTACCACGTGTATACAGTGTGGGAATAACGATTCATTATTCCCCCCCCCCCATCTCCCCTAACTCCCAGCGAATGGATTAATTGTCTCAATCAAGGTCATGATTCGATTTCAGAATCAATAATGTTTTTTTTTGTTTACAATGCGGTGAATTGTTTTGCCTGCGGTAGCTACAGTGGTTATTTGCACTCATTACATTTGACATAATTACAGTAATTTACTACCCTTTGTTAGTTAAGTGGCGGTCGAAAGCCGACCAATGCCGTGTTAGTCATGGTGAAGTGGCGGCGGGGGGGGGGGGGGGTTGCTGCCCAGGACCGTTTCAGATATTGCTCGGGTATCGAACTCGGGTCGCCGAGTTCAAAGCACAGTGTGCTGACGACTGCGCTACCGCTACACTGGCGCATAATAACGTATACGTAACTGTCAACCACTGGCCAGTGCCTCCCTTATTACAGAACAATTCAGACCTTATTGGTCACCCCGTGCCCTTATACATCTCAAAATTCATCCTACAAAGTCCAATCACAAGGGAGAAACACAAACAAATAGACAAACATTTTTTTAGTTTTGCCTTTGTTCAAACGGCTGTGCGCCGTATGGACCTGAAAACTAAATTTCCCTGTACAAGAATACGGGTGTGCATATACAAATATACAAATAGCGAGACAGTTTGATTCCTGTGCACGTTCTTCATGCAAGTAAGATGAGCTTGAGAATCGCCATCAGGTGCTCAATCGATGCATTTGTTCCACCCCTGGTATACAGTATATCATTGCATAAAATAAAGATGATGGCCTGAAATGGTGCTAAAAAATTAATAGCGCAATGCTTCATGGGTATTCGGGGACTTTGAAGGGAATGCTTGGATAACTTAAAAAAGCACACATCGCCTGCAGGCAGCATTTAACGAGATCTGTCTTTAAATCACAGATTGTAAGCCCTGTTTGAAGCAACTGAAGGAGAGCACTTTATGGTCATAATGAACAGCGAAAAGCCGATAATTGCCAAGCGTAATTGGCGCCTTTGGGATAAGGTGCGGTGTAGAGTCATGTGTGTACGTGTGTCACTTGATCCGCTGGAAAGGGACAAGCTTGATTTCCCAAGCCTGGTTGAGAGATAGTTCACCGTGGGCAATGCGGTACCGGCGCGAATGAGGATTTGATTAAACCTAAGAGAGCAATAATGCCTAAATAGTGTCGTGCGCTGTGGGGATATGGTAAGAATTCGTGTTGGGGCCCATAGTAAGGATAAGCAATACGGTACATATTAACTCGTGATGAAATCAATCGGGAATGCACCCGACCTCGTCAGATCTTCGAAGCTAAGTAGGAGCCGAGCCTGGACAGTGCTTGGATGGGTGGCTCTCATGCACAAACAGTCTGTCGTAGAATTTTGATTTAAAGCTTTCGTGACTGCAGTAATTCATATTCTTAGTTCTTTCGGTAAAGTCACGTTGAAGGGAAACAATAAAATAATATATATAAAACAATACAAATTCTCACGACGTTTCGACCATAACACAAACGGTCGTCTTCAGGTGTGTCGGTTTGCCATCTGGCTACCATGAGAGATTCGTTCATGAGGCTATCCACATATACAAGCACAGAGACAATTTCAACCGAGAAGATGGATTCTGGCTTAGCAATCATTGGAAAGATTTGATAAACCATTTCAGGTCTTAATTGATTGTTCACGCTTGCAGTGGCTTTCAGACAGCATGCATTAAAAAAAAATTCGTATCCCCCCTCCTCTTTTCAGAACATAGATGGACTAGTCCTTCTAAATAAACTGCTAAATCGCTGCGCGTGGCGCTAACGTTTTTTTTGTAAATAAATAAATACACCGTTTAAAAATAAATACATTTATGCAAACCGACACACCTGAAGACGACCGTTTGTGTTATGGTCGAAACGTCGTGAGAATTTGTATTGTTTTATATATATTTTATTATTTTATTGTTTCCCTTCAACGTGACTTTACCGAAAGAACTAAGAATATGAAGTCTGTCGTAGGGCTTGTGGGTTAGGTTAGGAGGCGCGTGAAGTCCGCTACTGGGCAGTTGGAGGAAAACTCCCTCCAGCAACAACGGAGGGCAGAGGAGTGATGCTTACAACAACGAGCGGAGCGCCGGGCGGCTAAAACACAGCAAGTTGGCATAGTAGGGGGCACAGATGGTGCATCGGCCAGTCATCTCAGTCAGTCAACCCATGGCACCTGGGTCTGTCCCGTCACCTCCTGCCAGCGGGCGTCCGACACTGTATGTGGCCTTAAAGTCCATATCGTCTGGCACAAGCGCCGTAGTGATGTCACCGCCACTCAGTGGCGAATGGCAGTCGTCGTTGGTGTGTTGTAGTTTACATGTTTTCAAGGTATACAGTGTTCCCTCCTTATTTGCGAGGGATGCATTCCAGAGATGCTCCTGAATAGCACATTTGGCAGATAATGATATTGGCCGACGAAATCCTATATTTTATCTGATCACTTTCTCGCATCACATTCTCTCTCGTCACTTTATCTCATCACTTTCTTTCTCTCTCTCGATGCAGTCACGTGGAGTTCCAGATACGATTCGCGGATCGCCAAAATCGCGGATAGCAATTTTGTGGCTAACGATGGAATACTGTGGAAGCAAAAGCACAAATAATTATCCTTCAATAAATCAATAGTAGTGTGATGTGGCGATGTTGGGGTGGAGAGTTGTCATAGTTTCTAGCGCACTGCACTATGACCCCAGTGGTCTGTATTCATACCCCGGCCATGGCTAACACCAGTAGCGAGCATTTTCAGAACTAGTCCTGGGTCCCTCCCCTTCACCAACCCACACTGCTTAGTGTGGTGAAGTATGGACAAACATTACTCACGATTGACGCCGCATGAAGTGGGCTTCATGCCTAATTGTTTTGACAGAAAACTGATCATTTATATATATTTTAGCATTTGTGAGAAAGATGGTGATGTTTCAAATTTTTTTATCTTTATTTGTGCAGTTTGCAAAGTTTAGCTGCGAGCGCTCATTAAAACCAAACACCCCGATGTGTCCCATCTAGGCCCTCGGGTGGCAGGTGTTGTACCTCTTGTGCCGCTTGGTCTTAACAGATCGGGCCGCGCGTGTGCCCGCAGTGATCGAGATGTGCGACCCCCCGCGCCGGCTCATGCGCTGCATGATGGCCATGGTGTTCCTGGTGGGCGGAGAGATGGTGCTGCCGGGGCTGGCCCTGCTTTGCCGTGACTGGGCCGTGCTGCAACCCGTGCTGGCCACGCCGCTCGTGCTCTCCGTCAGCCTGGCGTGGTGCGTGCATGTTGCGCGCGTGTCGATAAACGCTGGGGTTTAGGATTCAAGGCATCTAACGTGAAATGCCGTATTCTGCCGTGTGGTTTGGCACTGGCGTGGCCTCTAACAATGCCTGACTTAGGCTTGAGCCTCGCAATTGCTTCCAAAGATGCATGAGCGTCGGCTCGGCTTAGCCAGAGCCATGACAAAAAAGTATGGGCCAAGGGCTCTTTAACGCTGTCCTTGCCTCGCATCTCTGATTAGCACGGTTGGCTACGTACGGTGCAACATAAGTTCAACATGCTTACATACATCTAAATGAAAAATATGCTCTAATAAATCGGGCTGCTGGAGTGGATTTATATGGAGGCTTGACAGGGTTTCAATGGAGGCTGCCTATGCGTGTGTGGGTTTAGACAGAGGCTCCCGTGTGCGTGTTTAGACAGAGACTGCAGAACGTGTGTGTGGGTTTAGATAAAGGCTGCTGTGTGCGTGTGGGTTTAGATGCAGGCTGCCGGGGTTTAGGTGGAGGCTGCCGTGTGTACGTGCGTGTGTTTATATGGAGGCTGCCGCGTGTGTGTGCGTGTGTGACGCGTGTCTGCAGCGTGCTCGGTGAGTCCGCGCGCTGGCTCCTCGCCACGCGCCAGGTGGCGGAGGCTCGCGCTGCCCTGGAGACAATTGCCGAGCGTAACGGCGCTACCGAGGACGAGGATGTGGCCCGGCGCAATGATGCTTTCCAGGGTGAGTCAGAGGGGGCGGAGCGTTAAGGAAAAACACATGGCATGGTGTTAGACATTGCCGCATGCTGCGAAAACTTTGGCGGCAGCCTCAGAAAGTCTTGAGACTCGGTGCGGCACTCCTGGGCAAACAGGCGTAGGAACAAAAGTGTGAGGTGTTTTGTTTGTCTTGCAGAAATCGAGTGCGCCCTGGAGTTTGCGTCTAAACCGCGTAAGCACAACGTCTTGGAGCTGTTCAGCACGCGCAACATATGGAAGAACCTGCTCATCCTCTGCTTTATCACGTGAGACACGTGACTGAGACGCTCACCCACGTAAACAACGGCAAAGATACCCCGTATAACCTTAACAGACTGTTGGGGCAAGTGCCGTTAGCGAGTATCTAAGAAGGCCGGCACGGCACGCGCGGGGGGTGGGTGGCCTTCACCGCGCCCGGCCGCCCCTTTGCGCAGTTGGGCAAACAGCCGCGCAAACGCGTTCCCACTCGCCCACCCAGGCCCACGGTGATTCTTTGGTTTGGTGGGCGACGCAAGGTGGAGCAAGCTCGGGAGTGTGCCGTGGAATGAAAGCGGTTGAGAAGCACCGATTCAAATGACAAAATTGCCACCCGTTCAGTTCTTTTGAGCTGGTGGTCTGTACATTGCAACGCACACCTCTGCGCGTTGTTACAACCTCCTGTATTTATAACGCCGCAGACTGCTTCAATAAATTAGCAAGAGCTCGGAAGCTCGGCCGCTGCGTCACCGATTGTCCCCTCTCCCCCCTCCGACACGACTCCGCACGTGACCCGGCAGCTTCATCGGCAGCGGGCTGCACCTGTGCTTCATGCAGTACCTGCGCGACTCGGGCCACAGCTTCTACGCGCGCTACTACATGATGGCGGGCGCCGCCGCGGTCGGCTGCCTGCTCACGTGCGTGGCGGCCGAGCGCATGGGCCGGCGCGGCACGCTGCTTGCCTGCGTCATCCTCATGGGACTCGCCAGCCTCCTCCTGCTGGCGCTCACGCAGTGTGAGTGCGCGCCTTCTACGATCCCACACGCTCACCGTCGGGGTGAATTTTGGTCCCCCTCCACCCCACCCCCGGTGTGTGGCACAGGCGCGGTGGTGGGGCAGGGGGGGGGGGGGAGGCCCTTGTCCAACGGTGGATTTATTTTAAAAAAAGGCGGCTGTACGTGTATATTTCTAGCCGGATAAAGCCCACACATGCGTGGCGGCACACGTGGGTCACGAACCCATTTGCTGTTCAAACACACGCTGTCCCGTCACCTGCTTACTCACGGGTGTGCCTTTACGTACGTGTGTAAACGCGTGTGCGTACGTGTGTGCAAACGCACACACGTACGTGTGTGCAAACGCACACACGTACGTACGTGTGCAAACGCGCGTGTTGACAAAGTCCCTGGCTCAAGCAAGCGCGATGAATGTGTTTGTGACAAACGTGCAGTTGACCCAGAATGCCCTCTTAGTTGCTCCAATCCTGTTGATGTCACTCGTGTGTGTATCTGTGTACGTGCCGTGCAGTTCGCACACACCGAACTACGATAGCGAATAACCAAGGTTTGATTCCCGGCCATGGTTAACATAATTAACAAGTAATATCTTTGTTGTAATTTTTCCACAATTTTACGTATTTATGTACTTATGTCTGTGTATATGCCTGTGTTTGTGTGTATTGTGTGTATGTGTGGGGAGCGGTGGTGCAGTAGTTAACTCGCAGCGCTACGAACCCGGCGACCCTGGGTTCGATTCCCGCTCATGGCCAACACCAGTGACAATTATCTGAACCGGTCCAGGGTCTCCCCTAGGTCGACTCGGCCTAAAAATGAGGACCAAGTGTGATGTATAAACATCGCCACTGGGGAGACAAAGGCGGCCGGGAATTTGTGCGTGGCCACCTACCCCCTCGTCTGCCGTGCCGGGCCTTCAACGGTGCTCGCAAACAGCACTTGCCTCCAACAGTCTGTTAAGGCTATCCGGGGAATCTTTGTCTCTGCGTGTGTGTGCGTGCGCGCGTGCCTCGCGGGCACGTGCGTGACGCGCGTGTTCTCGGCCGCCACCGCCACCCCTGTTGCCCCCGGCAGACTTGGTGCCGGAGCTGGTGCTGGCGCTCACGCTGCTCGGTCTGGTGGTGTCGCACGCCGCCGGGGGGCTTGGCGTGTTCGTGGCGGCCGAGGTGACGCCCACCGTGGTCCGGTACGTGAGTGCCTCTCGCCGCCGCCGCCACCGCCGCCACCGCCGCCGCCGCCGCTACCGCCGGGCATCGTCGTCACGCTGGGGAGCGCGGAGCCGAGGGAGACAATTGTGGCAGCAGCAAGTTAAATGCCGTTTCGCCACTCTCGCCATCGGGGGCGGGGGGGGGAAGTTCTTCCACTGCGACTCCTTGATGATAATATGAACGGTGCAATTTGTCATTTGGAACAAGGGCATTTAAGCCAAGCAAGTAGGAGTCGGGGTGGGGGCCACTCAGTCTGTGACTTTTTCAATTGGCATCACCGAGATAAAATGCTTCACCAGGCATACGTGGTTCTCCACCAAATCTACATTTTGACGAATATCACCCCGAATGTGGCTGAACTCATCAGGTCTCGGAAGCCAGGAGGCAAGCGCACTGACCTCAGAGTTTGCTTACAACCAAAATCTTTACATTGTAAATGTGCTTGCAAAGCGTGGCCTGAATCGTGCGGCTCCTCGGATGTTGAGCCAATTCCATTCATGAGTGTTTTGTGTGTTGGAAGAAACCCTTGCACACAAGGAGGTAATGGATTCAAGAGTCTGTTGCAACACTGCCATCTGCTGGCCAAATCGCAGACCATCCAAATTCCAGCTCGGCTCAATTCAGACCCGTTTGTGAAAATGGCCAGACATCCAAAAGCAGAGTGGCACCCTCCTATGAGGGAGCCTTCATGAGACTCCGCTTTACTCTCCGTGGTAAATACATTTAAATAAATGTCCTTGCTTGTGTGTCTGTATGTTTGTGTACATTTATCTGTGTGTGTGTCTGTGTCTCTGTGCATGTCAATATGTATGTATGTGTGTGTCTATATATGTAAGTGTGCATGTCGATTAAGTATTATTATTACTACACTTGTTTTAACCTCAGTGAAGCTCATGACACTCTTTTTAGGAGTATCTTGCCAAGTTTCATAGTAGCATGATTGTTATGTCTATTCCAAGGAAGTAATTTGCAGGACATTTTTCAAATTCGCGTACGTGTGCGTGAATTTGTTCATGTGTTCATTTGTATGTACGTGCGTGGGTGCGTGGGTGCGTGCGTGTGTGCGTGCGTGCGTGTCCGTGCGTGCGTGTCCGTCCGTGCGTGCGTGTCCGTCCGTGCGTGCGTGTCCGTGCGTGTCCGTGCGTGTGTGTCTGCGGATGGGCGCCACGCTCCAGCGGCGCGGGCCTGGGCCTGGCCGCGGGCTGCGCGTCGCTGGGCCGCGTGTCGGCGCCGCTCGAGGAGCTGCTGACGGAGCGCGGCTCCTTCCTGCACCACGTGGTGCTCGCCGCGCTCGACGTCGTCGCCCTGCTCAGCGTCATGTTCCTGCCCGAGAGCCGCGGGCACCCGTTGCCCGAGAGCCTGGACGACGGCGAGACTTACCGCCAGCACCTGCAGCTCTCCTCCGCACCCGGCGCGTGCGGCGGCGGCGGCGGCGGCGTCGGCGGCGGGGGCGGCGGCGTCGGCACCGCCGGCGTCGATCGAGCCGCTCCCAACGGAGGCGGCGGCGGCGGCGGCGGCATCATCGGAGACGGCTGCTCGCCCGCCGTGCCGTCCCTGCGCACGGCGTCGCGGCGCAAGCGGGACAAGGTGCCGCTGCTGAGCCAGGCGTCGGAGGCCGGGAGCTACGCGTCGGCGCGGTCCGACTCGTCCGAGCTGCGCGACATCACCGCGGGAATTGACTTCTGAGCGCGACGGTAAAACGGGCTCGGTCGCCGCCGTCACCGCGCGACCGGCGGTGGCGGCGCGCGTGGGAATTGCGATGGGAGGAAACGAACCGGCGACGGCGCCGGCGGGATTTCGGTGTGCGAATCGAGCGCCGAGGAATCGTAATGCCGGCATAAAAACCGAACTGGCCCCGGTTGAGTTCAACAGATTGCGTCGCGAGGGTGATGTGCGATCGCAGTATCTTGCCGAGAGGTTTACTTCTTCTCGTAACTGCAAGGCTAATGCTGTTTTTGATTATTAATGGTGAACTCGCTTTGCCATTGTTACAAGGTAGTACGCGTGGGCGAGTATGAACCGTTCAAGTGTGGTCCTGCGTTCGTTCACATTGGACTGCAAGCCGACGGTGGTTTCGAGTTCGAATAAATGAAAGTGGTTGCAAGTCGACACAAAATAAGTTCTGTTCCGCCAGGAAGTCTGCGAGCGTGGCAGCCTGGTAACTGCTCTGCTAGCTTAGTAACTTCCTTTTTAACAGTGACAATTAAGAGCGCTTTGTTACAGTATGAAATAATACTAATTGTCATCGGATTCGCTATGAAATTTTATTCTTCCAATATTGTTTTTCCGGTTCAACAATATATTCCGCATGTACGTAACATATATACAGAGTTCAAGCCATTATTTGTTTGAAGCTAGCCGAGTGACATTTGGCGCTGGCTGTGTGGGTGACGTGGAGTTGGGTGGAGGGAGAAGACTGGCTAGTTAGAGACAAGGCCGGAGTGTGAGGGAGTGTGAGGGAGTTTGAAACCAGCCAGAGAGGACATCTAACGGTGCTCGTTGGATAGAAGAAATGTCAGCCGTTATCGATCAATTCAAAACGTCGCTCTTTCAACTGTTCACTGCTCATTGCTCACGTCTACGTATATTTGGGGCAATGTAAGGGTAATAATAACATGATGAGACCGCAATGATTATATATAAAAATTAAATAATGAAATTACATTGCTTTTGTAAAGTCAGATATTATGACGGAAAAAAATGTCTTATTCCAATATATTCAAACGTGATATTCCAATCTCTTTGTGGGCGCCACGTGGATCTGTATATCTTTAGTCCTGTGTGGTGCATCTTAGACGACGCACTGCGGTGGGCTTGGTGCACTTTAGCGCGCGCAATGTTTGATGTGCGCCGCTTGAACGAATGTCGGCGTGCCCAGACGGATGGTGTCTGGGCACGCAACGCCGGCGATGTCATTGTTTGGAGTTCTTTTAGGGCTCACGTTGTTCCATGCCGTCAACCTATTATCTCGAAGGCATTTTTCTCGCGAGCCAGTTCCAAACGGGTGCCTCATCACATTCGCTTGCCACGACCGAGTGGCCTGCTTGTGCACGACCAAATCGCCCTGAATGAGCCGGATGCTGTGTGACCTTCCGGAAGCCAAGTGGGGTTAACGTACGTACGTACGTATGTCGAACGTCTTTCGCACCGTACTTAGCCAACCGTGATAATGGGAGGTGCGGGGGGAAGGACAACAAACTAAAACACGAAAATAAGTTCTAAAGAAAATGGTTTTCAATTTAGATTTAATACGGGAACCAAGAGCGTTCCAGACGGCCTCGGAAGCGCATCTGAAAGCGTGCGATGCGGTGACCGTTTTTGTTCGATGGCCGAGCCAAAAGCCGCTGCTGCGAGTGTGACCAGAGTTTGCGTGATGATGGTTTATGCTGCTTGAGATCAGCAAGGTATCCTGGATCATTTGTGGCCTGGTTATTACTTAAATGGGTGACCCACATGGCTTGCCGCGTGATGTCGGCGTGGGGCAGCTGTGTACTGGCTAGGAGAGTGCACACGGTACTGGTCGAGTGCTACTCCCCTCATGCGTATTTGTTTTCTCCGGGCACTCTGATGTTATCCCACGCGAAGCCACTTTTCAGTGTTATTGGCCAAACATTGCAATTTAGCGGGGGGGGAAGCCTCACCGAGTCTCAAGATCGTTTCTCAGGAGGGTGCTGCATTTGGATGTTTGGCCAATTCCTTTTTTTATAAAATGTATGTACACTTTGTGTGTGAGGAAACGAGAGTGCTCGGAGAAAACCCGGCAGATATGAGGGGATACCACTCAAAAAGGTCCCTACACAAACGGACGCACGAACCCACTCACTGCTCATCCATATATTGGCCACCTTGTGGCCCGAGCCGGCAACACCTGGTATTCCCAGGCAGCCTCAATCAAGTACTAACCCATACTAGGATTGAGAGAGACACTTTCACAAATGTCTGCGTCATCCACCGAACCCTCGCCCCCGAAAGTGGCGGGGTTGACAGGCGTGCGACGCCGCATTGAAGTTATTACACGTGCTCTCGTTTGACTTCACGGTCCTGGTGTTACTTTGCAGACCAGACACCGGCGTAATGCTCAAGTGACGCGTTCAAATATTGTAACGCCAGGGCCGTTCATTCCTCTCTGATCAACACACATTCCTATTGACTCAACACGTAGCTAATATTATTATTATTCGTAATATATATTTTTTGGGTGACTGTGAAAATTGTCCCTTCAGCTCACCGGTGAGAAAGCTGAAACGATAATAATTGGCGTGTTGTTCCAACGCCTGTGCGCGTGCCAGTGTCATTTGTTTGGGCTTTGTCAGGTGGTGGAGGCTCGTACGACAGAAATTTGGCCAGGCCGTTACGGTGGCCAAAACCAAAAATCAATGATGACAACGGAGGGGGCGGCGTGGCACAATCCGTCGTGCTGTACTCGCGTGCGCCCACGTTTATGCTCCCTCGCCTTCAATGCTCGCTCACCAGCTGTGGCGAAGTATGGTCTTATGAAGTAATTCCCCATGGTCGGCGGCGCGGCGTGGGGGAGGCCCTCACCCAGTGGTGGATTGGCAGAGGACTGCACGCGTAGTGGCCAGACCCCGTCCACTCAAACCTCAGCCACTCCAACCTCCCCGTCTGGGCAAGGGAAGCACACGGTTATATCGTCTAGGATTGGAAACGTTCGCGAATCGTTAGCGCGTTTCGTTTTTGTTTATTGCCCGTGCCAAGTCTCTCATTGCGTGCGCGTGAGTGGCCTGTGTTTTTTGCGAGCGCATGACTGAAATGACGTAGCCTAACGCTTAAGTCGCGAAGCCTTAAATGTTTTATCGATGAATTTCAGTGTTATTGCGGTGGCTTTGCGTAGCACTTTGCTGGCGCATTTAACTTATTAACTGGAAGGATAGGGAACAGATTACTTAACCATATGCTGCTCAGTGTTGTCTAAGTTGCAATTTACACGATCACTGATTTTAACTGTACTGACTTGCTTTAACGATACATTACATATCAGTGTAAATTAGCGGGTCGCGAAAGTGACGGGCATGTTTTTATATCGGCTCTTTGTGCGTCCAGGGGCGTAACGATAATTATTTGTCATGCTGATACGTTAATTGTCGCAGTGCTAGTTTCATTTCCACGTGCCTAATTAAGCTGCGGTTGTAAATTGTGACGAGTCGTTATGGAATTGGGCGCGTAAGCTGGCGCACTGTAAAACACGTAGTGGGCGCACACACATGGGGTGGAATGAAGCCCCGTTTCCAGGGCCAGTTTTGGTTCGTCCGGCCGGGCTATTCCAGCAAAAAAAATCGGGTTGCTCCCTGGGGTCAAACATGGTAATGTGGTGCTCAAACAAGGACAGACACACTGGGTTTCCACGTGACTTTTAAACGCTTTCTAAGCTTGAGAACGTTGATGCTTGATCTCCGTCTGTCCGTAACGGTGGGGGCACAATAACTCATACCTTTAGTCCGCGTTGTATATATAAAAAAAAAACCTAAATGATAGCTCAACGGAGTGGAAATTTACAGCAGCCAAATACTCTCTGAACGTGCGATGTTGATTCTAAGTGTGGAGGAGGAGGAGGTAGGGGGGGGCAACATTTTCCCACCTGCTCTGCCACTGACACTAACTAACATTCATCGCGCAAATGTCAACCCGACATCTTTGTCAGAGCTGGAATTTAGGCAAAATTAATATCAGAATAAAATTAACGTGATGGGTATTTTTTGTTTGTTTGTTTAGATTGCTAGGAGGATTTACTATTATTATTCTTATTGTACGATCGCGAGAGACGGAGGTGGCTTTTGGTGGTGGGGGGGGGGGGGGGCGGAGAGGAGGGCTTCATCACAGCAGCAAACGAATCATGGCTGCTAGCGGCTTTTCGTTTTGGCGTGCACTCAACGGTGACCGGGCCGAGATCGTCAAACTCGCCACGCTCATTGCGAGCCTCCTCTCTGTCCACGGGGTGTTGTGGCGAGCGAGGTTCGAACTCCCGGATCTCCTTAGTAACGGCTCGAGCGGCGCTCTGACCTCTTGAGCCGCGTGGACACCCCTCCCAATTTCACCCTGCTTCTTAACCCATTGCCGTTCCGACGACGTAAAGTAACGTCATCGGTATTCCGAGGCTCCCACAAGGCCATGCGAGGAACTCGTGCAGCACGGTTTTTGGCGCCAGCTTTCGTCGAGCGCGGCGGTTGTGTCACTGTGCTTCTCTGCGGTGAGCAATGTTTTTTTTTAAAAACAACGGCGCTTCTACGCCTCTCAAATTAACGCTGAACCGCGTGCGCATTCCAAGGTTCGGCGGCGAACAGGAAAGGGTGAATGGAAACCCGGCGTGTTCTTGAAACGCTTCACGGAGAACGTGCAGTAAATTCCAGATCACGAACTCGAGCATGAGATGGGGGTCACTGGCCTTTGCTGAGCACCGCACATCGCCCAGGCTGTCCAGGAGGGGGGGGGGGGGGTTCAAATCCCCTCCTCGTACATTTGCTTCGCAAGTGAAGCAAGCCGCATTTCCCCGCGGGGACGACGTCGTGATGCCTTGTTGATGCAGAGCGATAGCGGCCCGGCGGGGGCCGACACGCCATCGCGACGATTGTGTGAAACGTATTTCACAGCCTTAAAATGGAAAGCATCGCACCTTCACACCGCACGTGCGAGTTGAGTGTGCGCACGAGAACACGTGCGGGGAGTGGCAGTGCAGCGGTTAGCGCTACGCTGCGCTACGAACCCGGGCAAACCCGAGTTCGATTTCCGCTCACGGCCAATACCAGTGAGGATTATTTTAACCGGTCCTGGGCCTCCCCTAGGTCGACTCAACCTCAAATGAGTGCCTGTTGCGGTGTGGAAAAAAAAAATTCGCCACTGAAGAGACAAAGGCGGCCAGGCGTAGTTCTGGCTACCCACCCCCTCGTGTGCTGTGCCTGTCTTTATAGGTGCTTTGCTAAAAGCACTTTCCCCAACAGTCTGTTAAGGGTATACGGGGGTTCTTTGTCTTTGACACGCGCACTCAAGACATGCGAGTGTGTCCACGCACGCACACATGCACACACGTGTGTCCATTTATGCAAATGCGCACAGTGCCCTAAATATACAAAATTAGATTTTCGACAGCCTCTCTCCAGAATAGACGACGTTACAATGCAACAAATTATTAATCAGAATTTATTCTGATCAATAATTTGTACACGTGCCACTATCACGTGTGTTGGTGGAGCAGGTGTGCACGTGCCACTATCACGTGTGTTGGTGGAGCAGGTGTACACGTGCCACTACCACGTGTTGGTGGAGCAGGTGTGCACGTGCCACTACCACGTGTGTATTGGTGGAGCAGGTGTGCACGTGCCACTACCACTGTGTGTTGGTGGAACAGGTGTACACGTGCCACAGCCACGTGTGTTGGTGGAGCAGGTATACACGTGCCACAACCACGTGTGTTGGTGCAGGTGTACACGTGCCACTACCACGTGTTGGAGCAGGTATGCACGTGCCACTACCACGTATGTGCTGGTGGAGCAGGTGGAGCAGGTGTACACGTGCCATAACCACGTGTGTTGGTGGAGGTGTACACATGCCACTACCACATATTGGTGTAGCAAGTGTACACGTGCCACTACCACGTGTGTGCTGGTGGAGCACGTGGTGCCTCATGCAGGCAGGTTGAAATCTACAACTCACGGACGTAGGAGAGGAGCTG